CCTGAAACAGGTGTCAATGTCGCCTTGGGGAAGGCAGCGAATCAAACAAGCATTAATGCCGCCAATGGAGTTGCAAGCCGTGCTGTAGACGGGAACACGAATGGGCAGTACAGATCCGGTTCCTGTTCACACACTGAAGGTGGAGATCCTGATCCAACCTGGTGGTGGATCTTGGTCAGTCGTATGTGGTTGACAGGTACGTGTACAGCATTATTATCAAGTTTATTCAAACGTCACACACCTAGTTGCATACAATAAGTCTGAATTGTTAGCTCTTTACAATGACAGAGTTTAAGAGTGCTAAGGAGTTATAATTGACAATCAATCGACCTCGGTTTAAAATCAATAAATATAATTATGATAAAAAGTATATAGTCTTCTAAAATATAGTACATAAGGACATATATTAAGTATTTACAGATTGTTAATTCAATTGTTTGTTCAGCAAGCTTGTTATGTAAGGTATCGCAGTCACAACAGGTTTGTTTAGCAAGCTGGTCATGTAAGGTATCGCAGGTACAACATGTATGACTCATTGATGGATACATGTATATATAAAGCATCGAGTGGCACACAAACACACACACACACACACACACACATCATCATCATCAAAGTAAATGGTTACTGCAGTAAATAAGATTTTCAATCGTGGTTGTCCATCGTTGCCGATGATGACTTCTACGTTGCGCCCTCTTCTCATCTTTTGTGCACCCGCATGTGGCTCAGGAGTCCAATTCTGGATCTGCAGGGTCGTCCGCACTGCTCGCAGGTGAACTGGAACGGACTCTGCTCCCTGGTTTCAATAGTGTATATTCTATATAACAATTACCAAAATATTGATCAAATTTAAGTTTTCAAAGATTTGTGCCGTAGTATATGTATGTCGTATTTAATGTGTGCTCCTGTGAAATTAAAACGTTAAACATTTTCTACCTTCCATCCTTAGGGTAGTTCATTATAAAATCAATGGACTCTATTCTAGATCCAGTGACAGTCTAAAAACTTTGAAAATATATAGTCTGCTTCGATACTTGAATTGGCAAAGGGATGTTCTGAGATACAAATCCCAACTTTGATCTAAGATAACAAGTTTTATATCAATGGTGTTTAAAATGAACTCTCTATATGCTTGTATAAGTATAAATTAAAGCTATTGCTTTGTTTTTAATAACAACAGGGTAGTCATCTTTAACCGAATGGACGCTTGTTGTGTTGGACGACTCAATCCCTTCAACGTCCACATCGGGTATTCTGACCAGATCAGCACCAACCCCAAGTGTGGCGGTGACCATCAAATCAACCTTAGTCAACCGTCCATTTCAGTTTCATGTCAGGGGATGCTGGGGCGGTACGTAGGCGTCCGTCTGCCCGGTACAGGCCGAGTACTGTCCCTGTGCGAGGTGCAAGTCTTTGCTGGTAGGTCTAGGCTACATTTACTTAACATGGTATGGGATCATTACCGTGCCAAACTTAAGAACGTTAAAAAGTGTCACATTTTGGGTCTATACGTCACGTTTTAGGGCTCATACGCCATGTATCCGGGCCAATTATAACGGTTGGCAAAACTTACGTAGACATTATGGTTCTGCAATATCCTTGTCAAGATTGACTTACAATAATTATGCCGGTGTCCCTGGCCTCGAGTCAAAATGGCAGTCAAGCGATCTCTATCTTTTCCGTCAAAATTACGGACATGAAACAGTCAAATAATTAGGTGTATACGTCACATTTTTACGTCGACATGTCGCATACGTGACGCATTGACCAAAAAACTTGAAGTATAAATATACATGCAATCCAAATACTACATTAAAGGTTGGGGGTTGAATTGGAGTCAATTGTCACCTAAATTACAACATATTTACAAGCATCACGCTTGGCCAGGACTCATTGGAATATTGAAGTGCTTCATTGTAATTTTATAATGATATTTTTTTGGGGGCGGGGTGGGGCAGTCTGGACCGCCTTACACCAGTAAATCAAGAAACATTACAAACCAACCATTTCAGTTATGAAAAATGTTAATGCAATTAGAATATATAAAATAGACGAATATTTCGGTAACGTGGACAACTTTCACTTTTAACAGCCATACAATCCACCGCGTGTGCATCAACGACCTCGGCACCCAGCACTACAGCAGAGACCAATACCACGATAGTTTCGTCAACAACAGCGACCGCTGCACCAAACACCACGGCAGAGACCAATACCACGGTAATTTCGTCAACAACAGCGACCGCTGCACCAAACACCACGGCAGAGACCAATACCACGGTAGTTTCGTCAACAACAGCGACCGCTGCACCAAACACTACGGCAGAGACCAATACCACGATAATTTCGTCAACATCAGGGACTGCCGTAACCAACACGTCTGCACTAGCGACGCCTGCACCAAACACCACGGCAGAGGCTAACACCACGGGACTCCATTCAACAGTAGAAGCTGCTGTATCTTCTTCGTTTCTACCGACGGCCCCTGGAACAAATAGTACAGCAGAAGACAACACCACGATTGCCTCGACAACAACGGGAACTGCTGTAACCAACATGTCTACATCGATAACGGCTCGATCCAACTCCACAGCAGTGGTCAGTACCACTAGCACTGTGATTCGGTCAACAGTAGGAGCTGCACCCAACAGTACAGCAGATGCCAACACCACAGCTGTGCTTCGGTCAACAACAGGAACAGCTTTTCCAGCAACGACTTCAACAAACTCTACAGCAGAGGAGAACACCACAGTGGTTTCGTCAACAGGAATGGCAGCTGTACGATCCACGTCTCTACAAAATATGACCGCTGCACCTAATACAACAGCAGAAGCCAGCACCACTGCAGTTCGGTCAACAGCAGGGGCTGCTGCACCCACAACAACCGGTAGGACCCACGTTCGAATCGTCATGGTTTACTTCATCTAAATGCATCGTTATGATGAGAGATAGACGCACGCAAACATATTCACCATTTCCTTTAATCTGTTGGTTTCTGAGTCGTTACGATACATACATTAATTACAAGGGAGGTCACACAGTTGAAAGGCATACCCTACACATTAAAGAAAGAAATGGTATAACTTTGTGTTACACGATACGTATTAACAGATTCAAAATACACACCTACTTCGCTTACAGATTCAAAATACACACCTACTTTTTTCGGATACATTGCTCACATTGAATTCTTGATGAATAATTAAACATTTATTAGAAACGGAAAATAACCAAATTGAATATGTAAATCTTAATGCTTGATACTCCTTTAGCAGACTGTAAGTTAATTTTTATACTGTTACAGTTACACAAAAACAATTGGTATATCTTTTAATGTAGGAGCATAATTTGCCCCTGATATTTTGCATGTTCCTATACATAGGTGCAACGCCAACAACTACGACTTTACGTGAGTTTTCAGGAATTATCGTCGTCTAGATCTAATCTTCATTGACGTTTACAACGAGAGACCGACTAATATCTAAATATGCTATCAACTTCGTTTGATATATTACTGTTGATAAAGACAAGGTCGAAAATAGTTTCCTCTTGATCGCTTATGTTGCGGTTGAAACAAATAATAAAATTGGCCTTTTTCCATTTTACTTATGTTTTAAAATATTTTGAAGGCGAAATCTGTACGTAGCTCAATGTAGATTGTGCAAAATAGAGACAAAATTATTATTTTTCAGTGATGTTTCCGATGAAGACATTAAAGCATTGTAGCTTATTATTGTATTTCAACAGAACGAACGCGTCAATCTTAAGCTGCTTGGCATGTTTAAAATGTAACCAGTTTTCTTTAACAGCCGTAATCAACTCGGTCACCCTGGCTCTGTCTATACCTATCACATGGGACGACTCGTACCAAGATCAGAACTCAACTGCTTACAGAGACTTGGAGGCCGACATTGTATCTTCGGTTAGTACCAGTATCTTCTTCTTGTCAGGTCTGACAGAGACCTATTCACATTGTGACATTGGACTTCTGGACGATCAGAAATCAGAAGTAGCATGTCATGATAGACGATAGACTTTAAATTCAGGCGGATGTGATCTTTACCTATAACAAATTCATGTAACTTTACAATAATGCTATACAACATGCTTAAAGTCTACGTTGAATTTCCAAGGAAAAGAATACAATACTTTATGTTTTGTTTCCAGATTTCTGATCTGTACAATAGTATTCCTGTTTTTTCTGGTGTCATAGTACAGCGCATCAGGTAATTACTCTTTCTTTTATTACACTGCCATTTTAGATATTTGTGACAAGATTTAATACAACTTAAATCTTTAGTCCGATGGTTTCTTTCAAAGAGCTTCCGCTACAAGATGTGACGTTTTTGGTAGCTGATCCGATGCCCTCACTACATGATAACAAAAAACAATGATTAATTGTTGAATATCAAGTACTTGCCAACAAATATTCAGTGTGCTCTAAAGCTTCCGTGTATAACGCTTGCCTGCTGTTCTAAAGTCGGCAGGACACCGGGGTGGCAGTCTCAATCGGCCTTCAGTTCTCCGGCAGTGAAGCTCCAGATGAGGAACAAGTCGGCACCGTCCTCGTCACGGCTGCGCACAGCTCGGCATTGGCTGTTGGCGGAGTGGCGATCACAGATGTGGGCATAGGTACGGCAAATAGACGTATCAAAAGTTACTTGTGCACGAGGAGAATCATTGGGCCTGTCAAAATGTTTTTGAAGCTTTTAGTTTTGTAAGGACGCATTCGCATGGCCTTATAATTATGAATTAATAGCAAGTTCAAGTTCCATGACTAGTATATTTTAAGGGAAGCTGACTACAAGAAATATGTTTTTACATGTGATGCGTATTACAGGAAATGTGACAGACACAGGAAACTCGAGCTTGTGCGACTCTTTCACCTGCACCAATCACGCCGTCTGCATAGAGATAGCTGATGGAGCAAAATGTGTCTGCGAGCCGGGATATGAAGGCAACGGGACTGTTCTCTGCACAGGTAAAATAGTTTGTATCTAATATGTTCGACCTGTCTCACAGAGTTTGGTATTGATTGATATTATACAATACGTAAAACCAATGAGTAGCCCTACTAAATCCTCAACTAAACCTTTTCCTTCAAATGTGAATTCAGATATTGATGAGTGCCTGACTGGAGCTCATGTGTGCCTCCGTGACGAACTCTGCTTCAACAGGGAGGGATCGTACGCCTGCGCCTCGTGCTACCCCGACATAGCCCTGGTGGGAGGAGGGGCAAACTCTTCGGCTCCTGTCGACATCAAACGGAGGGTGCCTTTTACTGTGCAATCTACTGTAACAGTGGACTGTGACGTAGCCTATTCATTCCTCTTCAACTGGTCTTTGTACGCGATGGATAGTGGCCTACCCTCCGTAAAATTTACCCTTCCTGAGAATGTTGAAACAGGCGGATCTGAACTCACCTTACCGAAGAACGTTCTGCCGTACGGGAAGGTCGCCATCCGGCTGGAGGTCACGGTGGAGGAGACCTTGTCTGGACTCCGTGTCGTGACGTCAGCTGAGCAGTGGGTGAATGTCTTATCTTCGGCACTGGTGGCTGACATTGCCGGTGGCTCAGCAAAGTCACTCGCACGTGGCTCCGACATTGTCCTCGACGGTTCGTTTTCTACAGACCCGGACGCCATGGTGACAGACGCAGCAGACTTCATCTATAACTGGACCTGTGTAACAGAATTCGGTACGTTGTTGCAGAATATGTGGCATCACAAAGTTTGTTTAAGCCTTAGGCTATTTATATTTTATCGGCACTGTAGTTTATTGCTGTTGTACATAATTATACCAACTCGTATACTTCAGAATCCATGTTCTAACAGTTTTGCTTTTCTAATCATGTTTTTTTTTAAATTCAAATAACATTAAAAAATTCAAATCAGCAAAATCTGCCGCCATGATACAGGATCTTCATGCGACGACATTTTTGGTGATGGTGGAACGAACCTATCATACGTTATTTCTTCAAACAACCTCCAACCGAGTGTACGTGGGTTGACAGTCCAGCTGAGCGTGTGGTTCCAGGACAGAATTCCTGGAACGACCTCCCAAACACTGGAGGTTTTCCCGGTTGGATCCCCATCTATTTCAATTAGGTAGGCATCCTGCAAAATGTGGCAGGTGTGTATGTCATCTCTTGATCCTGCGAGGTGTGTTGGTCTTCAGTCTAATTTTAATGTAGCGTTAAGTTCATAAACATTGCAAAAAGACTTCACAATCTACAACTTATGAAACCTTTTTACTCTGAGGAATAAACATATCATGATACTCTTATACCTTGCTAAAGCCTTTATATTAAAATGGAATCGGACTGTACGTACTTTTACAGTTATTGGTGAAATATTATGTATTTAAGCATTCTACATATCTATCTAAATATGTCCGATATATTGGGCGGCATGAGAAGATCCTATTAAGAGGGGGGTAGTATTGGGGGGGGGAGACTATTAGAGTTGGCACCCCATTTCTTTTTGGAAGTTACCTTATTGGGGGAACAAAAACAATTTAATTTAACAAAATGTTCAATCGGTTAATTGAAATTGATTTCAGTGCTTGTATACATCTCCTTTAAATTTACAGGTGCTTCAGCAACTGTAACAGAAAAATCAACCCGTCAGAGAAACTGATTCTGGTGGCGGAGTGTACAAACTGTGAGGAGAACGAACTGGTCAGTTACAACTGGACGTTACAGGAAGCTCCGGGCGGGTTTGGCAGGTCCGATTTAAACTGGGACACCGAGAGCACCACGGGAAGGAACCTGCCGGATGTCGTTTTTGAACCAGAAGTTTTCACGGTAAAACTTTCTATCCGTAAATTATCAAATTCTACTTCAAATCTCGAACATCTTTTTATCTGATCCGAAAGAAATTTCATCATATATAAATAATATAAATGATTCTTCAATATAAAAAATAAGTACTTTAGTCATAATCATTTGTTTAACAACAGCCGACGTTTTGATGTCCATCTTTCATCTTAATCAAGCCAAGTTAAGGCAATTATGACTGCTTCAATGTGCACTAAAACTAGTTCACCGTGCACTAAATCAAGATCATGTTTAACTTAAAAGTCAACTGTGGACTGAAGCTAGGAATTAGTGGTGACAAAGATGACAGACGGTCATGGAAACGTCGGTTCTTTTTAAATATTTGCTTGTGAATAAAGAAATTATCTATAAATATTACTAATGTGATCGTGCTATGGTAGTGTGCCTAACGGCAAATTACCAATATGTATTACTAGTATATTCCAAACATGTATACCACAGGCTCTTGGTGACTACACGTTCAGAGTCGAAGCCTCACTGGACTACGGTCGCCAGGGCTTCTCTGAGTACAGTTTTGAGCCGAACGAGCCGCCTGTGGTCGGAAGCTGCACAGTCAGCCCGGAAAACGGCACAGCCATGGTGACAGTGTTCACTTTTACTTGTACAGGTACGTATGACACAATTCACCGAAGATACAAAACATGAGGAGAAAATAGTTGGGTAAACTGGAATTTTGATAGTTTCATTCGGCCAAATTTGACATGTATACTTTATCTTTGGTAGGGTTTTCTGACTCAGACGAGCCTCTGACTTACAATTTCCTCTTCAACACGGACGCTGCTGCCGGATTTACTCCGCTGTACACAGGAACGGTATGTGCATGTTTTCCCCTAAATGTAAACTTTTGGTATATCCTAGAATTGATAACGCTCTGCTTTGATCCCTAACATATCGACTCATGCATCACTTCTAAAAATGTGAGAAGAAGTCATTGATGACGATTGTATTATGTACTAAAGTGCTAAAACGCTGTTTTTTAAAAGGAGCCTACGACACCACCACAGTTCCTGCCTGTTGGCCAAGAGTCACGTGACTTTGTTGTGAGAATCCAAGCTCAAGTCTCGGATTCTCTCGGAGCGACATCGACCGTCGAGACTTCTGTTAAGGTGAGGTGCAAAATGTAATGCTTTCATAAAGGTATCAGTCTACATGTAGGTGCAAAGCGTAATGCTTTCCTACAGCTCAGTCTACTTTTAATGCCACTCATAGCCACCTAAGAGACGTTCATAATCATCATCATCATCATCATCATCATCATGCCTCCTAGAGCAGTCCCTGCGAGACCAGCGTCTCTCTCTAACATTGACAAATGTGTATTATAAGACCTTTCCACTCTACGTCTCCCAGTGGAAAGCCACGGTAGAGACAAATTCACATTCACATTACTAATTACCTTAGACAAACCTCTAATCCTACAACATGTCTGTTCGTACCTTTTCCCAATCATAGAAGCAAGAAGAAGAATTATTCTAATTTACAAAAAAATACAGCATTGGCGCTATCTTGATCCATGTATACGTTATTATTTTGTCATGACCTGTACGTAACGCATTGTGTATGTATGCATGTGCAATAAAAGTCTCCAAGCATCCATTAAGTATTAATTGTCAATTCCGTAAAACCGCTAGTCAATGGTCCTGTATGAGTTTCTATTGATAGGAAAACTGCATTTTCAAGTTGGACCTATTGAGACCATTTATCCGTTCACGGTCTAAGGATATCTACAATTATGGAAGGATGATCGAATTAAATAAAAACATAACATATAACAATGCTGTACAATGTTGTAGGTCGTGGCACTTCCAGCAGAACAGTCCACAGCCGTAGCCTCTCAGCTCGTGGTTGGGGAGAACAGTCCTCTAACCCAGCTGGTGCGGGAAGGAGACGCCAAGTCCTTGGTGCAGATGTCCAACAGCGTCACGTCTGTCTTAAACACGGTCCCGACTAACGCGTCAGCCGAGACACGGAGGGCAGCCACTGAGGTGTGAATGATCAAAACGTTAACGCATCTATAATTTGGAAAGAGAGAGACCCCCTTCAATAATAAGAGATATATTCTTAATTGGATTTAAGTAAATAAATCTAATAAAATTACGCCGAAAAACTGTTAATAAAATGTTTTTACATTTTGTCACAAAATAGGCTAGAGAGGCTCTGGTTAGCGCATTGACGACCATCAAACCTACCAGCGTGTCGTCTGTGAACCTTGTAGCGAGCGCGCTGGGCTCGGCCACAAGCGGAGGGGACGACGTGTCGGCAGACTCTCAGGTGATGATGATATACTTTTATTTGGCCTTCTGTTGTCTTTTATGCTCCACCGTGTTTATTAGACATTTTCTGTTGACAAGTATAAACAGACACTTGTTTATGATATATCTTTATGATTGAAACTCGTAGACTATTACATTTTAAGAAATGTTATTATGTTGACGTGTGGTGCATAATGATGATAGTGCTATGTTACCATTTAGTATTAGAAAGTTGTATCCGTCTTTTCATTCAGCAAATAAACTAATATAGTGGTTCTATCCGGAATATACCAGCCATCATCATTTTCATCAAAGCATTGGTTTTCTTCCATGCTTAGGTTGCCGCCGCAAATTCCTTAAAGAACATGGCAGGATTTCTTCAGAGTTTACCTCCTGAGGACCTGGAAATAGGCCAGATAGAAAAGTCGTCTTCATTCATGTTTACAGGTGACTTGCATGTTTCTATGTTGCAAATCGTCAATTTTCTACCATCATCGGTTCTTTGCAGACATCAATTTGATGAAATAAAGATATAGCATGCTCACATGTATCTGTAGCTAGCTTTTTCCTCCGTTTTACTATGTGCAATTATTTATCAAGAGGAAGAGATCGTCATCATCCTCGAAGTTATTGTTTGCCCGCGTTATGCGCTTTGATATTTAGAAAAAATGATCGAAATGTTTATGCTACTTTTTTTTTCCTCTGAGTTTTCGTTTTCTGTATCATCACAGCTGTAGTTAACGTAATGGCTGGGTCCTCGAAGGCATCAGACAAGGCCAAAACATCCAATGGGACAGTCAATGATCAACTTGAAAAGGTAAAAATCATCAAAGTTTTGCTTTAAATCTCACTTGCTAGATTGAAATTACATCATGGTGAATGCTGCCGTACTGAATATTCATGCATTTTGTCGACCTTTTTTTTCGTTGTTGTTGTTTAGGCAAAGAAGACAATGCAGGACATCTTTGCTGCAATAGACACCATGAATGAACTGATGCTTGCCCGGAAACGACCGAACGAGAAGCCGACTGTGATCCAGCAGGGTCCGTTTGAGATGGCCTTACAGAGGCAGAACTGCCGGGACATGAGGTCCCAGATCGTCCGGCCCTCGGAGAACAGTGACACGTGGTTCCGGATTCCGGATGCATCCGCTCTGTTTGGACAGTCGTGTGGACAATCCGTGGGGTTTGAGGTGACTTGCTTATTCGTCAAACAAAATTAACCCACTAAGAACACAATGTGGTTATTAAGATGCCCTTAAGGGTCTTGGAAATGATAAACGTAGGCCAGCACTGACATTCTAAGCACCAAAACATGTAGCTTGACAATCCATGCAAATTTATGCAAAATTGCTGAATGGAAAATGCATATGGTGAGCAATGATCTTCTTTGCAAATTATGAGTTTTGTTTGAGCTTACATTAAAACTACAAAGATGTATCCCTAATCTTTGCTCAACAGAACTACCACACGTCCCTGAATCCGTATTCCTACGCCAACAACTCAGACAAGATCAAGTCACCTCTGGCGTCACTGAAGTTCAGAAGTGACTCGGGTCCTGTCGGGGTCAATGACCTACAGGTTCCTATTGACGTCATGATGCCGCAGAAACCAGGTATTGTGGTGGTGCAGACAGAGCGTGGGGAGACCACACCGACTGGACAGGACGTCATGTCGGTGAGAAAACACCTTTTCTAAAAAAAACTGTCATTGTGTCAAGATGGGAATAGCTGGTAGGATTGAGTTGAAATTGTGAGTGTACTGACGATGTGTAACTCAATTAATTGGTAGCCTGGAGACTTAAGTTGTACTAATGCTTCTTGTTACATTTGGCCAGTCTTCCTCCTTTTATATTATAACCGACACCCAACTACCCAAAGTGATACTCAGGGTAAAACCGCGGAAAAACACAATCGTAGTAAGTCTTTCATTAATTCATATAGCTTATCGGCAAGTTTTGCGGTGCAATTTTATACAAGCCTTTACCAAAAATAACAGAAATATCGCGTATTTTCAGATGCATTCCTTCAACGTTACCGAAGCAGACAGCTCCGTCCATGTCACCGTCACACCTGACGTGGAAGGAATACCTGTCCGTTTGTTCCTCGGTATCAACAGCGCCCCCTCCCGACAGGTCTATAACTGGACAACGTCCTTGCCATTAGCGGTGGACTCCATGTACTCAATTCCATTAGGAAACAACTCTTACCTCCGGCCAGACCCGTTCCAGTGGTTTCTGTCCGCCAGTGACTTGGGACTGACTGGATCTGAACAACTGTTTCTTGGTAAAGTTTCATTAATTTACATTATCATCTCAAACAATTGAATATGCCTGACCAACTGTCTATTTATTAAAAAAATGCAAACTGTTAATATTATATTAAAAGAGCTATGTACTAAGTATTTAAATAAACAAGCGATCGTAGGCAGTTGGTCACATTTGGCCAGATACTACATTTTGGATTAAGGGTTTCCTATTCCTTACATGTGTGTGCTTTCTGGAATTTGTCCCATTACGAGTACAAACAAATAACAACAAGTATGTTATTTTTTTAGCAATAATAAACAGTAGGCCGAACAACTAAGACTAGTACTTTTAAAACTGTCTCAGTATTTTAACATTCTTCTTGTTTTTAAAGGGGTGGACCACGAGCCTTTCACGAACGACACGAGTACCAACGATACCACAGTAATGTGGGGTGACCTGTCAGAGGCTTTGGAACTGGGATATGGTGGAGTAAACTTCACCTTGAACTACACTCTCAAGATCTTCACTTCTAAGTGTCTGTTCTTTGACGACGCTCAGCAAGAATGGAGTTCTGATGGGTGTGAGGTGAGCAGATATTTTATTCTACATTTCCCAGCAGTTCCTCATACCTTCTAGTTGCTCTTGCTTTTTGACATCTGATGCCACTCACTAAACATGACCAGACAGAGCAAATGTGGTAAGGCAGACGAGTTAGCCCTACTGACATATCATTTCCTTTAAAGAAAATAAATGTAAAAGAGTCCGACCGCTGTCCAGAGAAGCAAACAATATCACATGCATTTGTAAATTGTAAAATTGTTAAATCTTTTTGGAAAGAGTTCACCACTTGGTGGAATGCTAAAACACAATTACAAATATTTCTAGAGGAAACAAAGCCATGTTGACAGCTATATATTACATATTTAAATACATTGTGCAAAAGGAATTTTTAGATTACAAAATATGTGCCAACATTTAGAGCACTTGATGTAAAAGGGGTAAGCCATAACACACTATGTATTTGTAATACTATGTGTATTTGTATGTAAAATTTGAAATAAATGATTTAAAAAATATATCATTTCCTTTATCATTAAATCATTCTAGCTTTTTTATTTCTGTGTCTCTAGGTTGGCCCGTTGACCAGTACTACATTGACCCACTGCCTGTGTGACCACCTCACCGCGTTCGGCTCCGACTTCCAGTTCTTCGTGGCGCCGAACTCCCTGAACATCCTGTCGGCGCTTCAGGGCTTCGCAAACATCGGCGAGAACCCGTCGGTTGTCATCACCATCGGAGTCCTGTTTGGACTTTATCTTCTGATTGTTATATGGGCAAGATGGGAGGACAAAAAGGACTTGTCAAAGGTAATCTAGAAGTAGCATGGATCAAGACATAAGGTCAGTACAGTTGGGGTTGACATAAACCGTTGTTTGTCAACAATTTTCACTGCTGCATCAGCAACGGTTTTAAATTTAAATGGAATCAGAGCTGATTATTGTGCTCTACCAACATAACCATCAGTGCAAAGGGGTCCTTTACCATGCCATACGTTTTTCTGCTAATGTTTACAGAAGAATAAGGAGGTAGACGAACTGTTTAGAGACGGATAAAAACGCCAGCTTATTAATCAGATGGGCTATCATTACGTGCGGGTTTCTTATTGCAGGTTGGTGCTACAGTACTGAGAGGAGCAGGTAGAAACAGCCACTCCTACCAGGTTCAGGTGTTCACGGGAACCCGCGCCAACGCTGCAACCAGCTCACAGGTGAAATGCGAATTTAGAACATCGTCTTAAGTCTTAATATTGGGAATTTCGTATACTCAACCAGCACTTGTCTACCATACCAGACACCTTCCTCGGAGCTTCTCGCCGCTATATGTAGCCAAACGTGGTGGCGCAGTTGCAGCAAGAACACAATCCCAAATGTGTCTAAGTTAAAGGAGTACTAACCTCCAGAAGGAGGTGCTATATTTCGACAGGCATTTATTTTTGGAAGTGAAAAATGCATATTATTTTACAGTATACAATTAAATGCCAATTTTGCGCGCAAGTCTTAAAACGCATCGAATCCAAGACAAACTCTCCAAATACCCTCAAAACTATCCCAGAATACACCACGCTACCCCATTGGTGTTTATGTTTTAAACAAAAAGTTACGTTACAGACCTCATTTCGGGGGCGATAAGAAAAATTCGTACCGTTTTGTGTTCTTTGGTATCTTACCAACCATTGCCCTTCTTGGTGTCCTTATCGCCCCTCATTTATGCCATAAAATATTGACGATGAAAAAAACGGCGTAATCTAGTTATCTTTTCCATAAGTGGCGTAATCTAATTATCTGTTCAAGTAATACTTACATGCAACTAAGTTGAGAAAATCAAAACACGCAGCGTGAAACTGGCGCTCACTGTATTTGACATCCTGACATTATAATATCCAAGCCACAGGTCAAGCAAAGTAAAGCAAGTAATTTCTCAATAATCAGCTTGTTAGTGTGTTTGTCTCCTACCATTTTCGCCAAAAAATGTTTATGTTGACCTGAAGTGTATGAGTATTGCGTAAGCCAGAGTTCCCGGATGTATCAATTGTGGTTCAGCATGGGGGAAAATCATATTAATATCACTTTACAAACATGCGCCGCGCAAGTCCTACAAGCGAAATTATGTAAAAAGTCGGCTATTAATATTGTATTCATTGCAGCATGATGTATCGGAAAATATCACTTCCTTCTGGAGGTTAGTACTCCTTTAAACTTTGCTACCAATACCCCCTCCCCCCCACCCCCGCACTCTTGGTTCATTATTTTGTTTCCAAATGTGTCATAACCGGTACACGTGCGTACATCCATAAATTAATAAGAATGAGATCAGGCCCACCTATAACAAGGCATTTTTTATCATGTTTGTTTGTTCCACAGGTGTTCCTGGTGCTAAGAGGAGAGTTGGGACAGTCTGTTCCGTACGTGTTGGAAGACAAAACCCGCATCACGTTCAAGCAAGGCGCTGTAGACACATTTGTGGTGACGTCAGCCTTTCATCTAGGTCCAATATATGCCATCCATATTTGGCACAATAATATCGGACCCTACCCGTCCTGGTAAGGCGATTCTTTAAGTTCTTCTATTGAGATCTTCTTAGTTTAGCTTCTAAAATGGATGTTGAAAATTTTGCTTAGTTTTGCAAGTACTGGAATCTTTTAAAATGTTGCTTTTTAACTGAAATGAATGAGAGAGGAGATAACGCCCAAATCTTATTTTGTCTGGTGGTCGTTATATCTCGTGTAATTTTTTTCCTGATACCTGACATTACCTGATAATCTTGATTAATTTACCCATTATCTCAATTATTCTACACATTGTTTGTATTGGCATTTAGGTTTTTAGAGCAGATTATCGTGACCGACCTTCAAGAAGACGCTAAACACGTCTTCCTGTGCAAAAGGTTGGTTCTGTTACATGTTTAATGTGAATGCCTAAAAGCTGCTTTCTAGATACATTATTATTTTATTTCTATATCAAATCAAATCAATACAGTACGTATGAAATATAAATTCACGACGAAAATATGTAATTACAGTGACAGTTCCTGATTTGAAATGAAGTGTATTAAAAATTTTATCTTTTTGGTCATATGATTAAATTTTTCCTTTGTTTTCCAATCAGTTGGCTGGCTGTTGAAGAGGGAGATGGAAAGGTAGACCGAGAAGTAAAAAGGCTACAGACAAGGATCTGACCCGGTTTGCTCGTCTCTTCTCCACTAAAACGTCTAAAGACTTTCGCGACGGCCATCTGTGGTTTTCTGTGATTGGTCGGCCAGCAACAAGGTTTGTGGTTTTCTGTGATTGGTCGGCCTGCAACAAGGTTTGTGGTTTTCTGTGATTGGTCGGCCAGCAACAAGGTTTGTGGTTTTCTGTGATTGGTCGGCTAGCAACAAGGTTTGTGGTTTTCTGTGATTGGTCGGCCAGCAACAAGGTTTGTGGTTTTCTGTGATTGGTCGGCTAGCAACAAGGTTTGTGGTTTTCTGTGATTGGTCGGCCAGCAACAAGGTTTGTGGTTTTCTGTGATTGGTCGACCAGCAACAAGGTTTGTGGTTTTCTGTGATTGGTCGACCGGCAACAAGGTTTGTGGTTTTCTGTGATTGGTCGGCCAGCAACAAGGTTTGTGGTTTTCTGTGATTGGTCGGCCTGCAGCCAGGTTTGTGGTTTTCTGTGATTGGTCGGCCTGCAGCCAGGTTTGTGTTGTTCTGGAATTGACCTGTTGGCTACATGAACATTGCAACAGTGCAACGGACTTTGGTAGTTACGTCGTCTAAGGTAAATGGCCCAATTGAAAACATTTACATTTTGCTTGGTGATTGTTATTCTTTTGGTTTGTTGGTAATATATTGCTAACCGTTTTTATTGAATGAAAGTTGCATCAGAGTACCACATGCGGTCATTAAATGTATTTCAGTTACTTGTGGGTCGCATCTATTTTGTTTTTCGAAATTTGCTAAATACTATTTATTGATGTAATGACATGCATGTCGTATTTTGATTTTAGAACCATCACTTGATTTGTACAATATCTCTCCCCGAAATAACTATTCAATTCTGCACCTGTACAGTCCCTTTAACCGAGTGCAGCGCATCTCCTGCTGCCTGTCTCTGCTGATGTGCACGATGCTCACCAACATCATGTTCTTCGGTAAGGGAGAAAGTATGCCGAAGCCACCGCCAGTCTACATCCTGGGGTTCGAAGTACAGTTTCCCATCTCCTGGGGCCAGGTACATACTACACTGCACTACATTACATGTGTATTTGCTTGTTTTTGTTCCATATTTCTAGAAATATATTGATGCAAAGAAAATATTATAGTACTCCCCAGGCCAGAAGATATCAACATTGGCCATACACGTCGATGTGAGTAACGGTCTCCAATAGTCCAAGACTCGACTCCATCAATTATTATGAATCGTATTCGATGACCCTATCCAGATGGCCTAAATCATTTAGTAAATGCACATGTGACCATATGTTACATTTTAACACGTTAACATGGTAACAGATGTGTATATAGTATACCGAAACGCTACGTATACATACCGAAACGCTACGTATACATTCCCACACTACATACTAAAAATGCATGTATGTATAGTACTGTACAACAATTTGTACCACACTTTGTACATTTTTGATCATACATGTAGACCGTTAGTTATTTCACTCCATACTTAAGTATGGAGGGAAATACTGTTTTTACTGATGATTCTCCTCCTTCTTCTTCTTCTCCTCCTGCCATTTCTTTAAATTGTTTCAATTCCTTCATTTTTGGGCCAAACGACCTGGAATTTCGTATAAAGGTAGAGTGGGTAAATACCCCTAGGCGTTTTTTTATTTTTTTTGATACAAGCTTTTACAATCGTTTTATTTGCGTTTTTAGCTGTTCCCATAGGAAAGTACTGTGGGGCGTACGCGCGTGACGTAATAAGAAAGGAATTCGGGGGCGGGCCCAAATATGGGCATGCAAGCATGAACCTGACGCAGCCTAATCTTTTCTTCTTGCTGATTGGCTGTTGGATTTGATTGGATTAACTCAATTAACACCTGTTCAAAGCCATTCCATTTTGACAGTATGAACTCAAGTGTTTTGGTAGGTACAGCACAGGCCACGAAATACGCATCAATTTTCGAGGGACGTTCTGCGGGAGAATGCAGGACGCTGTGCGGGACTTCCCTCGGGAGAGTGCGGGACGTCCTCCGGGAGAGTGCGATACGTTCTGCGGGAGAGTGCGGTACGTCCAGCGGGAGAGTGCGGTACGTTCTGCGGGAGCCAGACATTTTGCTCTTCTCTGTTGGAACAACGCAAGTTGGAGGTCAATGACCTGCGCCCGGCGTGTAAACAAGATTGGACAGGGAGCGGCTGTAATATCAAAGGAGCCGGCGGCTTCTGCTAGCCGGGTTGATAGTTAAGTAACATCAAGGTGGTTCAAAAGCAAACCTGATAAAGAAGGAAACCCCGTAGTTAATAGTTGAAAGTCTTGGTGGCTTGAGGCGATCGATACCGCCATGCTGTTTACTTTATATAACATACAATGCAGTGAGTGATGTGTATCGCAACGAGTTAGCTCGGTTGGTAACGCGCCAGACGGCAATCCCAGAAATTGTGAGTTCGAACCCCAGTGCATCGGATATTAACATTTTAAACAATTTTATCATTTTTAACAATTTTATCAGTTTTAACAATTTTATCAGTTTTAACAATTTTAACAATCCTGCATTTTAACAATTTCAACATTTTTTTTATTTTCGTTGTTTTGCTTTTAACATTCAAAAACTGATTGTTCTTACTCAAGAATGTCAATAACTTAGAATGTTAGTCTTTTGTATTTTTCCAACATACAAACCAAAATCACTTTGATGTTGTCACAAAAGTATGGAGCTGACAAGAGAGAATGAGTACGGTACTCTGCCAGTGTGAAGAATCTACAGAGGTATTACCAGTCACTAGTAGCAAGAGATAGACCACATTGAATGATGACGATGAGGACGAATCATATGGAGTACTATCATAGCTTAGTACAGAAATTCTACTGCTTTACTTTACTTTACTTTCTTTCACTCTGTACATGCAATTAGCTCACTGGCATGATTTTAAAAATAAAGGTTATGATAATCATATTATATGTATAGCTTATTCAATGTATGGCTTCATAGTTTATGTGATTGTTAATAAGGCCATGTTGATTTGATTGTATGGATGGCATCTGTGCGCGCATCGGTTTTCGTTAATTTAAAACTAAGTTTACGACATTCATACAAAACATCTGGAAACTAAGCAAACACACTCTGTAAATTGATTACTGTAATTCCCGATTTTTTTTTCACTGTACCGCAACGTAACGCAAGCAGGAGGTCAATGTTCACGGTTTTCACTGTCACCTCTGTACCGTGAACTTATCTTTACAGTTAGGAAATAATTCCTGGACTTTCTTTTTCCTGCAACTGTCACCACCGTAAATATATAGTTCCGTGAACATGTCCATGTTTCTCAGACCGTGAAAATTTTGCTACCGTTAGTAGTAGTTGCAATTTCGTCATTAGTAGTATTTAGATACCTGCAATATGTAACTTTGAAATTGAGATAAGTGTAAAGTAAAGCTGTCGAGATTTAAAGTGCTTGTCGTTGTATCTTTGTAAAAAAAAGGGAGATAATGGCCAAGTGCCATTTTTGTAAATATCTGTCGAGATTCAAAAAGCTTGTCCTTGTATGATTGCAGTATGATTTATTCAGCATCTTCTATTTTTGTATGGGGAGGGAGATGGAGTGAAATATTACATTTGCTCCGAAGCAAATGTTGGCCTTTCTAGTTAATCACTGTTTCTTCTCTCTTTTTTAGACATAAGTTTCAATCTGCATACTTGGCAATGTATTATCTTGTTCTGATATCACCACTACATTACCATTACAGATAATGATCGGTATTCAGAGTGCTCTGATGGTGATCCCCGTGAATCTGCTCATTGTACAAATTTTCCGGAATTGCGCGGCAAGACCTCCCAAGAAAAACAAGGGTGAGCCTGTTGAAAATGTGTTAATGCTACATAGTCACATTGCATGTATAACCACTTTTGTTTTCTACCGACCCTTAAGTTTTACTGCATCCCATGTTAACTTGGTGAGTGGATGGCATATTATTTTTTGTTCTTCTCTCAAAATTGGTCTTTTTACCACCTAATTTTTACCCGGTGTAAGTTTTAAACTATTGCAGGGAATTGCTATAATAAAAAGGTGAGTGTAATGTGATCGTAATTGTTGTGTGATATCTCAATTACATTTTTAAATTAAAATTACGATCTATATGCTCATGAACTTTTCAGTTGATATGAGAAACGTACCAAGAAAAGATCCAGAAGGCAGGGCATCCTCAAGGATGTCGCTTAACAAGGACGATAATGTATTAGACCGGAAATCGTCCCCCTACGAAGTGCCATCAGGAGGTGAAGGTGCATCCACTGCTAAAGTCAGTGAGAAAGTTGGACAACAAGCCAAAGAACAGGACTTCCCACACCAGACAGCCGTTTTGGTCGAAGAAGTTGATGATGTGGAAGATGAAAGCTACGACGCCACAGGTATATACTGTATTTTGTATTCTTACGTAGTTCATATCAATAGGCTTTCCCCAGATGTATTGAAAAAGCGTATATTTTACAATTATCATTTTTGCTTTTCAATGCGTTTCAGTAATGCAGAGTGACCAATCAAAGAAATTGTCTGATATGGCAAAGAAAAAGAAGAAACGACTTTTGCCATGGTGGTGTGTATTTTTCGGTAAGTTCATCTTCGGTTATGAAAATTGACATGATTTCTTGCATGTCCAGTCTTTAGTTTTTTTACATGTAGGCTCTGACATTCCATATAACTATCATCGACAATAAACATTTAATTGATAATAATACCAACGAGGAAACGATTGTATGTTTATTTCTAACTTGCCTTTAGTGTTCAATTGTACCTTAGTTAATATCCCTATGTTGGCTTCCGTGTATACGTGACAGTGTTTATTTTGCCTGGTGCTTTGTGTTTGGATAGACAACTTGTACCAATGTGACAGATAAATAGAAAAGTCACCACAGTATGTATAACGTTGACGTCTGTGTTACAGCATGGTTCCTTGTGTTTTCCACGTGTTCCCTGTCGGCGTTCTTCACCATGTTGTACGGGTTCGAGTACGGCCGTGAGAAGGCCGAGGCCTGGGTTCTCACCTTCCTAACATCCTTCTTCTTCGACCTCGCCATCTCTCAACCACTCAAGATCCTACTTATAGGATTTGTTTTTGCGCTGATAATAAAGGTAAGACAACTGCAGATCGCTTAGAATTACCTTAATTATTTCCTACATTCGTAAAGTGTACTCAGTACGAGATGAATGATGTTAAAAATTTGCCAGCTCCAACAAAACAGTCCTAGTATTGTACATAATCGTGATGTGAACTGGATGTAAATAATTGTTTATTTAGCTGGACGTCTTACACTTTTCTTTCCTCATTTTAGAAACCTGACTCCTTGAACGATGACGTCCCTCCAGCTCAACTTTACGAAGATGAGGAGTTTCTGGGACCTCAGGCTCATGAGGTAAGTGTTTCGGTTACTTCCGTGGATATGTGTTTTAACAATAGGTAGAGAAGCACATTCAAAACCTTTTCTTGAACACAAGCCTACCAAGGTTGGCTGACATTAGGGATTGGAGCAGTCTGGTGAGATTTTAGGCCAAACAACCTTTTTTTACGAATAAAAATCAAATTTGAGTCAAATTTACCCGCGCCCTAATATAATTCCGAGCTCTGGCCAACCATTGCGAGGATCCCCTATACACCCCCGACCTCCAGACCTACTCGTAAACACGATTGGAGGGAGTTCGACTAGTGTTTGGGAGTCGATATTCTACTACGTGTGCCACGGACTTTAACCAGAAGACTTACGACGTACTTATTTCCAAATGTGCTTAACGTTTTATTGTTCCTAGACTGAAGACTCATCCAAAGAGACAACCCCAGAAGCAACAGGACCTCCAGATCAGAGACTGCTAGAGACTGCCAGGGAACAGCGATTTATTGAGCTTGGCTTCAGGGATGCGTGTTACGACTTTGTGTTCTACACCAGCTACATCCTTCTCCTGATAATCATAGCAAATGGAAACAGGGACCAGTACATGTACCAAATGTCCAACCACCTTCATGACACCTTCGTAGGACCTTTCTCAGTGGTTAGAAGCTAAGACCATTATTAGCCAGGATAGCAAATGTAAAGTATAGCTTTAATAGAGAAACAGAGACTCCAGATCGTTTCTATATACCAAGACAGAATATGTTGCTTTTTTTTGCTATTTATGACTAATTTTGACCATTTTCATCATTTCGCGATTATTCGCATGTAGAGTAATGGTGTAGCAAATAGAAAATGATCAACGTCGGACGTTGAACGTGTTTTGTTTTACTTTTCAGGTCAATGACTTCAAAACATTCTGGAAATTCGTCAGAGTAAACATGACTTCAGACCTTCACGACGTGAAATGGTACAATGAGAAGTCCCTTAGCAGGCCAGGCTTTCTAGAGGACACCAGTAGTTTCCTAGTCGGGCATCCCAGGCTCCGTCAGGTCCGAGTGTCTGCAGATAAAAGTTGTGACGTCCCGGGTGTAATGGCGAAGGTGATGACTGACTGTGACCGGCCCTACAGCCTCTTGGACAGTGACGATAACAGTTATGACGTCGGCTGGACACGTAACAACATGACATTTGACGTAAGAAACTTGGCGAATGTTTCGTACGGCCAGAGACCATGGATATACCGGCCTGCATCGTTAAGTGGTAAGACAAAAATCTATTTTGCGAAGTGGTTTTGGTATAAGACAACGTTAAACGTCTTACAGTTTAATGTTCTTTGTTTTGTCAGTACTCCCTTGAGTTAAAATAAGCGATTTTATATTATATTATTAGCTGTAATGTTTTTTTTTTGTTTCTTATTGATTCTCGTCTATTCTACCCAGCGGCTGTTCCTGACTCTGGTGAACATGGCACCTACTACGGCGGTGGTTACCTGGTGGAACTATCCAACAGCAGCAGCGCCGACATGGAATTGATAGATGAACTGCAGGAAATGGACTGGATAGACGACAACACGAGGGCAGTTTTCATAGAGTTCATCGTGTACAATGCGAACGCAAACCTGTTCGCTGTCTTCAACTTACTAGCTGAGTTTACCAACCTGGGGAGAGCCTTCCCGCAAGGCGAGGTAAGTCAACACAAGCCAGAACGATGATGACAGCTTCAAGAAGTTTCAACGCAGTTTTCAGTGTTTCTTTTACTGTGTAAGGTACTGTTGCATGGTGTTTCTATTTCTCACCCATCCCATGCTGTTATTGCACAAGTTTGTATTTTATGTTGTTTAGATCATGGTGGTCCGGTTGTACCCGTACACGACAGCCTGGGGGTTCGTACTGCTGGGATGTCACGGTCTCTTCCTTCTTGTCTCTTTGTATCTTGCATTTGTAGAAGGTAGGAGAGAATTTTGACTTCCTTCACATTATACTGTTTCATTCATATGCTTACGGGAATACCACTTTTCGAAGACCGATAAACAGCAATTTGTTCTTAGAAAAATATCAACAAAGGATATTATTTCTTTGTTGTTAAAATTGTTCCACCAAATAATCAACAATTGATATGGCCATAGATGTTAACTAAATGTATATGTATGACCAATACCATGATCATGGGCTAGATTAAGTGTACTCCATGCATGTCTGCAACTGTTCCAGTACGCCGCATACTGTCGCTGGGTACGGAATACTTCAAGATGTTCTGGCGTGTAGTGGAGCTCGTGCTGTCCCTGTTGGCTCTGGCGGAAATCGGGGTTCACCTTTATACCGCCTACCTGATTCTCGGCTTCAACACAAGTCAGAAAGATAGTAACAGCGGGGATGAGAGGTAGGATATCAAAACACTAAACGGCATTTGGTGAACGTATGCTCTCCTTATGCTCTCCTTTTCAAACTACAACTATTCATACTTAGTCTAGTACCTAATAGTAGTAGATATCCGAAGTGTACTATAGGGCGTTTATGGGTTTGCTATAGTTTATACCCATTAAGTATCACACACAAAGGTGTGCAACGAAGAGCAATCCTTGTCTTACCCGTAACTTTTCTTGCTACTTGTAACTACCCGACAGGGCATCGGATTAGAAATTTGACGGTAGCATCACAGGTGGTCATGTGGCTGTTCCTGTATATTGATTTTTTTGTTTTGTTTACCGACATAAAACTCATCTAAACGTTTTGTTTCACCCCACAGATACAACAAGTACAAACAAGCTGCAAGCTGGGAGAAAATCAACACGTACATTCTCGGCTGGCTGGTCTGTGTGGCGTGTTTGAAGATGCTGTACTTGTGCCGATTCAACAAAACCATACAACGTGGGCCCAAAGTGGTTAGAAGGGCACAAGGAAAATTGCTCAGCTTTCTAGTTATATTTGTGACGGTTTTTATGGCGTATTCTCAGTTTTCGTACCTTGTCCTCGGTACCAAACTCACCAAGTATGGAAGCTTTGTACGGACCATGCAAACGTTGTTTGGCGTCATGCTTGGAGACATGGACTATCCTACAGTGAAGTCTGCACACGACGTACTTGGGCCGTTGATGCTACTAAGCTTCGTGGTCTTTGTCAGCAATATCTTGATAATGATGTTCCTAGTAATTCTCAGTGATGCCTATTGCGACGTCGTGGTGGAAGAAGAACTGAAGGGTAAATCTGAAAATGAGAAAATCAAGGAATACGGCGTGTGCAGATTGAAGAAGCTTCTTCATAAAAATCCCAATGGTGTCGCTATAACCAAGCAAAAATCAGAAGCAGAAATATCTGTCATAAGCGACATGCCGGCATCAATTCCAACAAGAAACATCGATGGAAAGTCGTTGAAGAATTCTTTATCAGGCGAGGAGGCCGGATCACAGAACGACCTGAAACAAGGAGCTTGCGGACCTGTCTGGTTGGATGAAGACTGGCAGAAGTTACGATCGAGCTACGCGAACAAGTTTGACGAAGCGGCAGGACCAGCGGACATAACGTGGCCTGAAGGAGCTTGTGGTGAAAACTCAAAAGTTGGGACAGCTCGGCGCCGCAGCTCAACATTTCAATCGAGACGTACACTCTCTGGGATTGAAGAACATCCTCCGAAAGACCCATTGAAGCTGGAGAACAATGACAGTACTTCGCCAGTGGACATGGCGTCTTCGTTTGATGTTGCTAGTGGGAGTCAGCAAAGAGAAGTCCAACCCGCTCGGTCCAACAGCTTATTAGCTCTTCTACAAAAAATTCACCCTTCTAGCTTTGACAAACTTTTTCAAAATGACGCCTTGGACAAAGAGAGCAGCAAGGGCAGCAATCCTGCAGGGTCAGTAGTGGATGTCGATGGGGATAACCAGCGAGAAAACAGCATGACTTCCCGGTGCCACAGCGCTTCATCTCAAGCAAGACCACGCTCCTCTGGGATTGAAGGTCATTCACCAAGCGACACTTCGATGCTGGGGAGCGGTAAGCCGGCTAGGCCAGTGGACATGGCGTGGTCGGTGGATGTTGTCGGAGAGAATCAGCAGCAGGGTCAAGTCAGAGAAGATCGTCGCCGCATCAAACGTCAATCCACTGTTGTCTCCTTCGGCGACGTTGAACTACCACTTCCAGGGTCAGACTCACAAGTTTAATGCTATCTTCAAGTTGTTAGATGCTTTTCCCTCATTTCACTCCAATCCATATTCTACTGTAGAATGGATAAACGTGGAGAATGTAGGGGTGAGCGTAGTGCATGCAGCTATAGTCCTTCACTTGAATAGCCACTGCAACTTAACAACAACCATTTCTTTGTAGTACTTGTTGTACCTAGTACCTGTCTCTGGATGTTAGAATATTCCGATTCACGTAGTGCATGCAGATCTAGTCCTTAACTTGAATAGCCACTTCAACTTAACAACTACCATTTCTATGTACTGCTTGTTGTACCTAGTACCTGTCTCTGGATGTGAGAACATACCGATTTACGTAACTTAACTTGGATTGTTTTCCTACTCCGTAGTTGTCATGATCGTAGCATCCTTTGTCTGAGTTGCATGATTGAGCTGGTCCACGGTGGTAAAATCTGGGCTGAAAAGTTCCCACATGTCATAGAACCCGAACTGTGTTCGATCGTGTTCGATCTGGGGAATTCGAATCGAACCCGCGTTCTATTTCGGGGTCACCTGCGGTCATTTACTATAAAGCGGCAAAACAAGCCTTTCTACCTCCGTGCATTGCAACAGATAAAAAACAACACTTTTCTGTAGATACAAACAGTTTCCAGGATAGTACATGTCCGCTATCATTTTTTGTGGACATGTA